ACCTGAGAAGAATCAAGCAAAAGTAGGCGAAATAATTGCACACATTCAAAGGCGTGGTGATTTATAAAGAGAAACTCATTTTTTATATTTTTTGTACCTTTTGATTCATAGAGAGCTCAGCAATAATTTTGTTTTAAGGAACACTACATGTTGGAACTAAGGTTTTGGGTGAAATTTTTAAAAAATGTAATTTCGTTGATTTGTGTAATCTGTGAAGATCATATGATAAAATTTTGGATGTGACAAATTGTGTGACTGATATGATATTGGTTACACAACGTTGATCTACAATCTACTTTATATGAATTAGGAAATATCTACACCCTATCTTTAATGCAATTATTAGTGGAATCAATCAACTCTGACCCATCAAACCAGGTTCCGATTGGGGTGTTACATACCAAATGATTTACTATATATACTAGTGCAACACATATAATCAATCTAATCAATTAGGATTTTTTACTGGAAAATCAGGCATACCCGAATACATTTTTAGGTAATTATAAAAAAAAAATTTTTTTCGAACACATTTATTTTTTTTATAACGCATTTATTTTTTTTTTACCAAACTTTTTAAAATATCTTTTGCAGCCATTTCGCCAACCTCTCTTTAGTATTTTCAGTAATATTGCTCTGTTGCTTTTTCCGAACTGCCTTCAAATCTTCATGATTGAAACTTACCTCCAGTTTACTTGGACTTGAAAATAAAAGCCTTGCTTCTTGTATTTTATCAGTCATATTGGGATGTGTTTTGATATCATACTTATTAAACATTCCTTCTAATTGTTGTTGATGAACTATAATTGACCAAACTCTATATTTTACAAAGTCATATAAAAGAGGAAATTTAGAAAGTTTATATGAAGAGGATACTAAGAAAGTAAGAAACTGTTCTAAAAATTTTGAATCATTTAGTATATTAAATAAGCCAAATGATAAAATATTTCCTTCTAACTTATCTTTTTTTAGCAATTCAGTATATATCAGTTATTTCAACATTCAATGGGTGGTTTAAAAAAACATCAGGGCCATTACTTCCATCTAACAAACATACTGTTAAGAGTAAGTGGGTCCAACAATCCATCCATTTTACGAACCCTTCCTGTGCTTTTTCTAAACCAAGTTTTAGATTATTAATTAAACTCATAAATTTGTAATTACATAGCATTGATTGTGCTTCAACAAGTTCTTTTTTAAAAATAATATATAGGTTAGCAATTGCATTTTGTAATTCATTAAGCCAAAATAATACTTGATCAGGAAGTTTATGTGCACAATATCTGGAAGAAAGATATTTGAATGCATTGTTTTCTGACACTTGAGGTATAGTATCAAACTCGGTTAAAAACTCAAAGAATTTCAAATAAAAAAAAATTTCAAATTGCATTATATACTTTACCTGAAGATTAAGTTTTACATTGTTAATCTATTCAACAAAAAGCTTCCATTGTTTAATATAACCTTCAGGTATATTTTTGTATTAACAAAGTTGATTTACAAACCAAGCTCCAAAGAGGTAATAAGCATTAAAATTCTCAAGATATTGATTCACTATTACTAACTGGTATCGCCATTGGCTTGAGATAGGTTTTTGATATTTTTTTAAATTATATTGTAAAAGCATCCAATATAAGTTTCTTATTATATTTGATTTCATATTTAATGGACATTCTTTATTGCTTTCGCCATAACTATAGGAGCACTTTGGGAGTTCTGGCACAATTTTGTGACCCGGTAGTCTTTTTTATATATTTCAAGTCATTCGAGCTCT